TGAGCTTAATGTTTTTCTAGTGTTTTTTTTTATATATATCTATCAATAATATGCATTTTGCATCATAAGAGAATAAAACGAGTCTTAAATAAAGTTTATAGGGGTTTCTCTGACAACGACTAGTTGGAAAAATATATTTAAGATATGTAATAAATACTTTATAGAATATATATGATCGTAAGTTTGATCTTTGAGCAATCCCATTTAGTTATTGTTATTGCTTAACGATATAAATGTGGGGGTCAGATTAAAGGCTCTGACCTTATTAAATTTTTAATACTTATAATGTATTGATATATAAAAATACAAACATACCGGAGAAAAATGCTTCAAGGTATATGAATATTGAATAAATAATCAAACTTTACGTGTCGAAAAGAATCCGTAAACTTTAAAGGATTATTATAATTTACGAGTTTAGTATTTTAGAGATTAGGTACGTAGTTTCGAATCGTGCAGCACCTTTCGATTTTTTTTCGACCGTTTATCAATTAAAGTTATAACGAAATAAGTGTCGATTCACTATCTAATATATGAGTTCAGATTATTAGGAATAAAATCAATATATTGCCCTATTGAGTCATAATCCTAGAGAAAAATTATGTATAAAATGAAATTAATTCTGAAAATAAATGTCCCCAAACCTTTGCCAATGCATTCCACACTCTCCGTCCATTCCATTTCCGAAACCCAATGATATGATATGATATGATATGATATGACGTTGATCTTTTTATGCCCTGAAAGTAGGAAATCTACAACATAATATTGCATTTAATTAAGGGCGCTCTTGATAATTTAAAATTGGTACGTACGGTAATGAATATACATATACTATAATGAAGGTATTCGAAACAAATTTATACATAAGGTATTTTAATATATAAGCTTAAGATTTAAGAAATATATCTGAACTCTGAAGTGGCATTCAAATCTCTTTATTGCAAGGCGTGATACCCGAGAGGTTGAATGGTCTATTTCCGAATCAAGAGTTCCAAAATAAAACTATCTATAGCCTTATAATCTTTCCTTATAGTTTCAAAACGATGCACCATAATTGCCACCAGTATGTTCTTTTAAACAACAGAAAATTAAACAGTAAAATTGCCCTAAAAAAAATCTGTTCTGCTTTTCTTATATCGTCAATGTACTTATTATATTAATGTTCACCATCTTACTATTAAATTTTTGAATTCTGTATATTAATTTTTCGGTAATAATAAATAATGGAATTTTAAACACGGTAAAAACAACTGGAGCGACCGCATTATTTGAAGTAACTCACATACAAGCTCTTCGGTAAAGTGTTACAGGAAACAATGAAGGTAGAAACTCAACTTTCAGACGTTTTTCCATGGAAGCGGGGATTTCAACTCGGTCATGATTGAGTTTAAACAATGCACCCGTAATTAAATTTCCAGCAAAATAAAATGTAGGTAAGCGTGCACTTGCCGCTTTAATTAGTGGGAACAGCCCACCGGTCAGTAGATACGTTTCCTGGATCGTAAGGTCCGAGTTAATATTACCAGTAAAATAGAAAAGAAATTATTTAGTTAATCAGAAAATATGCCTTTTAGCTTTGTCCTCCGGGACCTCATCATTAAAGTCCATTATAAACATTCAGCTTCATCTCATACTCGAAACATTGTAATGTGTCCCATAGACAACTACGATGAGTTGAGAAGTTGAAAAACCAAAGCGTGAAACGGTCTTGTTAGATCTACGTACTGCTAAATCCATTATACATAAGTGTAGGCTTTTCTGAAATGTACCATTAATTCAAAGGAATACTTAATGTAGTCAGTCGCCTCGTTTCTATAGAGCGAAAATTCTTTTGAAAGACTTACATAGAAGCTTTTAAATATGTATTGTTAATAAGCAGGCAAAAAGCCCACCGGCGCACTTGAAGAAGAGTGATCGTTGTCGTCACATTAACCAAGGGATGGGGATCTTACCGTTTACCGCCAATGCGTAAACTTCGAAGTTTTTTTTACTTTGCACCTAAAATGGGTAACTATGTTATATTTTATATTCCAGAAAATTACAGAAGCAAATAATGCCGTACATTAAATATTTTAATACGATTATGATTACTTATAACGTACAATACATATAGTACTAATTTTATTATCCTTGGGGTTACGAAAACGTCCGAATTGGGATTTTTCCTCCAATTGGCTTCACTTCGGGCGTGTTAACAACATACATATCTGTAGTATGAAATATCATTGAATACTGATACTTGGGACGTCATAGCTGTCAATTCAAACTAGTTAGGTAGGGTGAGCAAAACAGATATTTTTGATATAATATTAAGTTACAAATAAAATTCGTATTTATATCATGAAACAAAGGCTAAGTGGCCTATAATGTCGAAGAATACATTGAAGACAACGATGTGTGGAAATGACTCTTGCTCTGCACTTGCAAATCCTCTGGTTGCTGCTTATTTTATACTTAAACACTTTTTTGTACTTATATGACTAAAAAAGAAAAGATAACAAGACCGGAAGAATTTATTGCCTGTTGTTATCTGGACAAGTCCAGTGAACGAGTAGTAGTTTTTGAAATTCATTAAGCGCTTACAATAAGCCTTTATAGAGTAATGAAATTTTGATTTTTTCTTTGAATCGCGTGACGAAGCAGACTGGCATTGACAAGATGACGTCAACTTAATACTGTTAAAAGCAAATAACTCTATGTATCATTTTCATTTTTAGTGACGTTTACGATGGAGTTGTGGGATTATAAAAGCGAAAAATGCACCGCAGACGGAATTTATTCAACAACGTCAAATGGCAACCACGATCGCGTAATTTGGCGCCATTAGACTTTTTTATGTGGGTGGTTCGTTTAAATTACGCTTTAGGAATAAAGGGCAAGCGGTTGATACCCTAAAAGTCACTATAACAAATGCCGCCATCGATATCGGGTCCGATAACTGCGGTTGAGTACCGAAAGTTTGGCCTCTCGGATGCCTGCCGCGCAGCGATTCCGTGGCCGATATGCCATTTTGCCGATATTACATTCCACGCATACCCGAACAATCTTCGAAATTTAAAAAAATCTTTTGACACGCATTGGGACTATTAAGAAAGCCACAATGGAACGGTCACCCGTCATTTCTTGAACTTGGATTTGAATAATGCGATGTAATATGGATAGTACGTTAATATATATCCACCCATAGGAAAGAAAGGTAATGTTAAGATGTTGTTCTTTTAGAACCGTGTGAATATATTATAGTAATAAGATGGATACACTATCGTTATTTATGCTGACAGGATTCAATTCAAGTTTATAACTTGCATATCCATCTTTAGATCAAATTCAGAATCTGTGAATTGGAATCTGATTTAATAAAAATTAGAAATTAAAATATTAACGGTATGCTGAAACTGTAATTATGCTAATTACTGAGGTCTTATTTTTCTTCTGAATGTTACTATGTAAAATTATATTTTACTTATTCCATTTGCGTCTCTACTTCTACCATACATGAAGATTCATTATTCAGTAAGACAAAAAATATTAGTCTGTAATCGTATAGCAAGCACAGATAGCAGCACATACTGCAACAGATCATCAAAAGATATTGTCTTTTGATGATCAGAAATTAAAGAGTATGAGTTTATTTAAAAAAAGGTAGAAGAGTATATAAAAGTATTTAAATACTAATAAATATAAAAAAGACTTAAAAAAACTAATGATAAAAGTAAAAAAAAAAAGACTTCAAAACAAAATGCTACAATAAGTCTTTATAAATAGATGAATTTGATAACTCTCTTTGACTCCACTACATTTATAGGGCCGACCCTGTCGAACCTATATATGGTAAAACCAGTTGAAATTAATTAAATGTCAGGGTAGGTAATAGAAGTGTAAGAAAATTTTATGTTATTCTCTAAATGGTAAATTATGCTAATTTATGTCATTTATTTCTAAATATTAGACATTTTTAAATCTTATATATTGATGCCTTTAAAATAGTAATATAAAATATACGATATTTTAAGTTTATTCCAACAAATAAAAGCATTAACTTTGGTCTTCAGTAACTATAGTGTTTAATTTATGCAATTAAAAATACGTACTTCATATTCCTATGTTATGTGTTACCGCTATCCACTCTAGTAAGGGATTGTGGGTTTTCAGAGGCGCTTGTCCTTTATTAGCCATTATTTATATGAATGAATTATAAATTTACTTCTAAAATTTATTAAATTAATTTGAAATAAATTTAAATGATCTTTGCGAAACCATAGGCGAAATCTTTCTAGAATTGTTCTAACCATTTCCAGCTGCAGAATAGACAATTGCCATCTGTTGAATTTGAGATACAAACACCTAGCTACAAAGACACAAAGCCATTATCAAGCGAAGTTAAAACACGCTTAGTTTATTGCGAATATACATACTTTAAGCTTATTATATACTTAACACATCAGGAAACATTTCAAACAATCATTTTAGCAGGTTCTGTGGTCGATGGAGCTTTATAAAATTGTGGTACCGACAGTAATAGAATGGATGAAAGTCATTTGACAAGAAGAATTCAATCTTTTTCAGCCTTCATTTCATTTCAACCGTTGTAGGACTACAAGAAGATAGTAAAGATTTGCCAACCCCACTTATATTGTGAGACAAGGGCAGGAGAAAGAGGAAGACCGTTACATATAGATTAGAAGTTCCTTAAAGATCGTCATTTTAAGACCGTTACTAATTAACATTAATAAGGTTCTCCTCATGCACTCTTATCAACCACACTGGTGTTGCAAATGATCGTAGGCGGTGGTAATCACTCGCCATCAGGTTAACCGCTGGCTCTTTTACATAAAAATATCTCACTAGCATTTAAGACAGAGGCGTGATTGATAGGGACACTGAAATGTGATTTGTATTCACATTACACTGACACACGGGTTCCTAAGTTTTCCCAAAATCCCAATCTTTTATTAAATAATGTTTTTCATTTCCCACAGAATAAAACAATTTGAGCTATGACCCCGAATACCGAAGACGGCGCAGAGCCGCCACACATCGTGGTTCTGGACGGAGGTTTCTCCACACAACTGTCGTGTCACGTAGGACACGTCATCGACGGAGACCCTCTGTGGAGCGCCCGCTTTCTTCACACACACCCTAATGAGGTGGTGAACACCCATCTAGATTTTCTAAGAGGTAAATTACATATTTTATAATTATGTTTTTCGTCATACATAAACTTAAGAGCCCTTTTTACGAATACTTGCAATTTATTAAAAATAAGTAAACTGTGCAAAGAGAACAAGTTCTTATAAAGAAATTCGAGGCCACCTTTTTCTTCACTTTAGCAGAAATGAAACGGATGAGGTTAATATAAACACCGGCTTAACTTAATATAGGTGCGAGTAATATTCGCTTGATAAAATTAATTTTTGATTACAATTCTGCAAAGTCTTACAAGGAAATTTCATAAGGCAAGAAAGAATATTTTCTGATCTCTTCCCAAGACAATTACGTAATTGGAAAGTTGTATTAGGAAAAATTTATTAAGAATAAAATCTTTGAAAGTCTAACCAATAACAAAAAAATTGGCAGATTTGTTGAAAATTAAGACAATATTGAGAAAAGCTCCGGCTGTAACAATTTCCCAGCTAAACGTTTATTGAACATTTCTGTGCCGTACCAAACTTTGAAATAAGATTTTGCCTATAGAATATAGACTAAATCTGACGCGGGGATGGATGGCTAAATGAAAACTCAAGAATTCAATTGTGTTGACATTCTTATATAATCTTATTTAGAGTTGTCTTGATGTTTTGTTTGCATTCTGCCGGTACGTGTAGTTTTATTGCAGACACTAAATACACAAATATTATATCCGAACACAAGGTGAACATGTGACATAAAAATGAAACATTTCCTTTTAACAGACAATTATCTGTCTGTGTGTATTTATATGACTCTACTGAACAAGCGTATAAAAGCGTACGCGTACGAGGAGTATTCGCGCGTTTTGACGAATTACACGTTAGGTCGCTTTTAGCCTGTCATTTCCTTGCATCTGACAACGTGAGCGCGACCTCGTCTCGTGTCATCGTCCTCTGAAAGCGCCTTTCTTCGCCACAAAACGGACCGTTTCTTTTCATAAGGAAAGCTGAAAAGTGTCTGCAAGCAAATAACTCCCTGGAGGGAAAAAGCCTACTGACTTGCTTTGCCGCCTTCTTCAGGGAAAATGATATGAATAAACATAAAAAATGGCTCGTATTGTGCGAACATTTTCACTGCACTCACATATTTCAAGATGCTTTCCTTTTATTTTAACGAACTGGACCAATGTATTCATATACTTCAAATCGAGCATTTATGCTGATTATCGTACTTTTTTAGAATATCAGTAACTTAAAGATACTTATGTTTCTAAAGTAAAATAAATAATTTACTAACAGATTTGCATACCAAATAAATCAAATATATAATAGTATGAGCGTGGTACGTGGGAAAGTTGGAGCAAAAACCTCATTAATCACCTTGTCTATTTGAGTAATACGTTACCAGTCGTTTGCCCTCCGCCATCTTCTATTTATTACTTTATTAATTTCTGGAACTCGACAAAGGTTCGTTTCGTTGAACAGTCTTATTGAACTTCGCGAACTGTATTGCATTACCAAGTTTTAATAACATTAATTGTTTACGTCACTAAGCCGCATGCTGTTCCCAGTTAATAATAGTACGAGAAGGCAAGTTCAATATTTATGGACTTAGTTCGGCAATACAAATTTTCGTAGTTTAAGCAATACTAGTTTATGACAGAGGAACGGGGGCAAATCTTAAAATTAACTTAGAACATTAAGACTTTAATTATTTTGTCATCTTTAAGGAAACGGTTCTTGTTCTATTTCTGTATTTTATGAATGTTTTCACAGCGGGGGCACATTTAATAATCACGAACACTTATCAAGCTTCGGTTGACGGCTTTGTGGAGCATCTTGGCGTCACTGCGGATCAAGCATACGAGCTCATGCTACGTGCTGTAGAGTTGGCGAAGCGTGCGCGTTCCCTCTACTTGGAGGAATACGAGGACTGTATTCAGGACGGTAAATAAATATATAAAACTTGTCTAAAATTACAAAAATGGGTTAACACAACATTGTGGCGAAATATATTTGTTAGTGAATGTTAAGGAGTATTCTGTATATCTAAAGTGTGCACATGGGTTACATCGGTTAAGTCCGTGAAACGTACATTTTCCGCTTGATAAAAATATCTAGCTTGAAAAAAATGCAAGATATCAAAATTCAAATTAACATTTACAAATATTTTAAATCAATTTGGGGTTGGTGTAAAAAGGTTCGACATTTTATAAGAAAAAAAATAGCTCAAAATAATGATACACTCAGTTAATTCGTGGAAATGTCTAAGATCTTTAATAATGAAATTTTAAAAAGTACGACCTTTTTTGTTACTAAGGCAGTATTTTTGAAAAAATAAGACTTTTCTGAATGGAATTTTACATATAAATTTTCAATTCCATTGACCGAAATATGATTATCATAATAACTTATTTAGTTTATTTACCGTACCGTACCGATTTTGCCGTAACAAAGACTTAGGAGCTCACGTCCCACGCGGGACGGGTGCAAGCACGCATTAATTACATTTTGTCGGCGTTTAAAGTATTTGCACGAAACTCGTTGAAACATAGTATTAAGTGAATAAATGATTATGAGTTCTCATGAGCGTATTATGCCCTTATTCAGATCATGTTCCGTTAGTGGTGGGATCAGTGGGTCCGTACGGGGCACATCTGCACGATGGCTCAGAATACGACGGCAGCTACGCTGACACCACGTCAGTTCAGGTAATTCTAGATATTTAATGAATAATAAATCAACGGCTTACGCCCGGTTTCTGAAACGCTTATCATCGTAGAAATTAAGTAACCAGCTGTCAAATGGCTTAATTTTGTAAGCATTAATGCTAGGGGCTTAAGCCTTAGTTACCTCAATTAAGCGCTGTCTGTATGGAACAAAAAAAATGAAAACTAGACGGCAGTTACCGAACGGAGCTAAAGGTGGCAATAGTCATTAATCAATAACTGGAAATACAGTACCCGTAGCGCGTTTTCCTTCACAGCATTCGGTGTGAGCCTCGTTTTATCGATTACCACTGCTGCTAATTACGCCTTTGTCTGCTTCTACTCCACATAGAGCGTTAGACACTAAGCTTGGCAATCGCTTTAAATTAAATGTCTGCCTGACTTAAAGGTGTAAATTCTGAATGACTGTTTTTATTACTTGACGCTGTCGAACCGCGCAGAGTTCCTTTTGAATTCAGAATGTCAAAATTCATTATAACGACTAATTTTTCTTACTAAATTTAATATTATGGTTGTTTACTTACATATGATGTCTACTTTCGTTAACAAAAAAATTTTCATGAAAATCTGAAATATACCAAGCTATTCTAATGTTCACAACAAGTATTTGTATATTAATTTCGTTATCTCGTTGTTAAACGTCTTTAAACAACGATAGACAGTTTGGGCACAACGCCAATGTTTTATCTCTTTAGTAAATTCTCGTTTATATTATCGTACCAGAGACTGTGATATAGACTAAAATAATTATTCCCCCACAACATTTTCAAAGGGCACATCTGACACGTGAGATTATTTATACAGAACCCTGCCACCTATAAATAAGTATATAGACAATCTAGTAAAGGTTAAAAGCGCAAGCTAAATCGTAAAGAGGGTCGTAAAGCTTCCGGCAAATTAAAATTTACATCGGCAATATGAAAAAACGGTCTTCCATTTTCCGTTGTTTTTTTTCTCTGAACAAAGTCGTCTGGAGTGGACAGTTAATTAATGGCCACCTAGAACAAATGAATATAGTCAACAAAGAAAAAATATAGTGTTGGAACTTTTTGTAAAAAGTGCATAAAAGTTTAACCGATAAATATGTTCTTACTTCTTTTAAAGTAGTTAAGGCGGCGAACTAAAAATTCGAAATAAAATGGATGTTTTAAATATTTTATATAAGTGTCATTTTCCATTATGCATATAATATGATGAACCCATTCATATAGTGTTTTCATTTATAGTATGGATAAATGAAAACACTATATGAGTGGCTTGTATGTTGTATACATATACGAGTACGTAATTACATATTACATTTTTATCACTTATATATAGTTTTTGGCCGCTCACTTTTAATTCAATATACATACTCTCGCAACCTGAGTTCAAATCCCGGTGCCGGCACCTGAAATTGTTATTTTAAGTGCTAACTTATCATGTGTAGAACATCGTAAGGTACTTGCATATTTTTAAACAAATATGAGAAGTCCGCCAATCCGCAGTGGGTACCCCCCTCTGTACAGGGGAGGCTTTTGCCCAGCAGTGGTACATATATAGGATGTTAATCTAAGTTTACAGCGTTATATTAAACAGTTTTTTGTAACTATACATTGAAATTATGAAATATATGTACTATATATAACATACTGCATAAGTCGTTAACTATTCCACGGCGTTCTCGCCTGGTTATATAATTCTGGAAGTATAATTTGTATCAATCGTTATTGTTATCATCTTTAAGTTGGAATTGTGGTTAGTTATCTTTAAGTTAAATTTATGGTGGCCTAAGGCATGAAAGTGTAGCTTATTTACAATTTCCAATCTTGTAAATGTTGTTATGATTTAGTTTGGGTTTACATCTATTTACACTATCGGTACAGCCCAGCAAACACGTCCAATAAGACCTTGGACCGTGGATAAATGACGCATATTTATATAATATTTTAGAAAATTAGTTAACCCAAACAATTCACTTTTTTTAAATTTCAATATACAATAACAGAAAATTATACACGATCAATACAACCAAAACTACACAGTTTTGGTAGAAAGTAACTTTCTATATAGACATATAGAAAGGTACTTTCTACATTTGAGTAAGCGATCAATAATACCCCTCGGATCCTATTGTAGTGTTCTGATCTTGATATATAATTCTCATTCCTCTTATGCCAGAGGATATGGGTTCGATCCCCACTGCTGTAAAATATTGTGTGGTGAACATAGTGTTTTTCCAGGCTCTGTGTGTTTATATACTTATGTATGTGTTTACATTTATGTTAAATAATGTATTTTAAGCATATTTATCAGTCATGTAGTGCCTATAGTACAAGCGTTGCTTAGTTTGAAACCAGAGAACGTTGTGTAAAATTGTGTCGTGATATATTTATTTATTTATTGATTACTAGCGACCCAGCCCGGCTTCGCACAGGTGCTATGTATTATACATATAAACCTTCCACTTCAATCACTCTATCTATTAAAAAAAACCGCCGATCCGTTGCGTAGTTTTAAAGATCTAAGTATACATAGGGACAGACAGATAGCGGAAAGACTTTGTTTTATACTATGTAGTGTTTCGATTATGATTAATTTATGCTCTTTGACAGACAATGCGCGACTGGCATCGGCCCCGAATTCAAGCTTTAGTGGAAGCCGGAGTAGACCTACTAGCATTGGAGACAATACCCTGCCAAGAAGAAGCCGAAATGTTATGCGACCTGTTGCGCGAATTTCCAAATGTAAAGGCGTGGCTTGCTTTTAGCTGTAAGGTATGTTTTAAATTTTATATTCCACTTGTCGACATTGAGCTGTAAACGTTTGATCCAAGATGTATTTTTGTTTATGATGAATCGGAAATAGCTCATCTCTTTGACTTTTTACCTGACGGTAAAACAAATTATAAAAAGCAATCAGCATAATTTACAAATGTTTTAAATTAAAAGCAAACACTTTCAAACATCATTGTAAAATGTTTCCTAACCTCCGCAATAGAGCCGCGTTCGTCTCCGGCCGGCTACACAATTTAACTAACGATAAAAGTAAAATGCCCTTAAGGTACAAATTACTGTTATATAAACAGGATACACGCATGCACGCATGCATCTTCGCTCATACAAACCATATTCGCATTAACAAGTTGCAAATAGTTCAAAGTTCAAACTAAGTTCATCCGCCGCGCAACCGGTGCGCAATAGTATCAACGCAACGTCGACTTGCACAGCGATTGCAGACTCCCGACGATTCGTGCATATTTTTAAGATCTGACCAAACGGTTCTTAGATAGAGCCCAGCATCATCCCATCCCGACAAAAACGCGAACGTCAACAAGCGTAACCAGCGAAACGTCCTCATCGATCCGGTCGAGGAAGGGGACTTAGACACGTCGGACCCACCGCAGGGGTCTCGCCGGATAACACTACACCCACAGTCAGTGTAACAACAAACACATCAGTTCGCCCTCGCCTCCGAGCACGGCGAGACCAACACAACGCGTACACCGGCGTTCCAGGGCGATTCTTACTGCTCGCAGCCACCGCTAAGCTAATTGCACAGTCGACGGCCATCGGGGTTTCGGTCCGAACCGCGCCCTCGATGGCCCTTAGATGGCACACCATAGTTAAACGCACACATGAGCACATGCGCGGGCCTACCCAGAGCGGAGGGCCCAAACCCGTGGGTTCTGGCTAGCCCAACGGTTCTGCGTCAGATAAAGCTTTAATAGTCTCGGGACTGAAAGCAAAAACATCAGTTAATACAAGATACAAGAAAATGTTACAACTATGACAACATGAAGTATATACAATAAAGGAATATTTTATTGCGTTTAATCGAAGCGAAAAACTGAAAAATAATGAAAAGGTTCGTTTTATTACCAGCCAGATTTTGTAAAAACTGTTTATGCGGGACTTGAAACTACTTTGGAGTAGGTACCTCAGATTTTTATTCTCTTTTTAAAAGCTAATTGTTTGAATTCACACCGCTCAAAATGTAAGCCCTCATATTTCTTTTAAAGTAGTCAGAGTTTGGAAACATTTAAGCCCTAACAACCATATAAGTCATAATGATTTCTTGAGTTTACGCAAATACTACACTTAATAAATAAAACTAAGTTTACGAACTTTTCATGGTTTAATTTTGATTTCAATTTCCGACGGGAATTTATAAGTTATAATTCTTGACCCACTGGATCATTAACTTGGTTGAACGTTTGAACAAATAGATTAAGATTATTAAAAATGTAACACGAACGAATTATATCGTAATTTTGTTATTCTTTTGTTATGCTAGTAATGAACGCGTTTTAATGAGGTTGTAAACGCCCGATCTTGACGTTGTTTCAAAAAAATAATCAATAACATAATACAACAGACACCAGTAGCAGCGAATGTTCAAATTTGCAGGATAACCAAAGCATAGCCCATGGCGAGAGTTTCCAAAAAGTAGCCAAAAAGTGTTGGGAAGCGAATCCAGATCAATTAGTAGCGGTCGGGGTGAACTGCTGCGCACCGTCCTACGTTTCGACTCTATTGAAAGGGATCAACGACGACCGGCCCCAATCCCCCATACCCTTGATTGTTTATCCCAACTCAGGCGAGAAATACAATCCACAAATAGGGTAAGTTTCAATTACTCACCTGATACCTTCGCAAATGTATGTGAATACTTATTATTATTCTTCGCCGTCGGGAAGAATTTAAGAAGAAATTTCTTCTAACAACCCAAAACATTAACTACTGTGAGATATTTCATAGCTAACAAAGCTATGGAATTTTATTCTATTAGATATTATTTTCGATATTAGGTTTTTATCAGATTGCTGCATATCAACAAATTATTCTCCTTTTCTTATTTCCACTAATCAGATGAGAAGGAAATAACGTAAGTTGATTTATTTATGCGTGAAATCTTATATGACGGTTGTTTCTTAAGAAAATACACACAGGTTCGTGCGTCAGTACATGTTTAATTAATTTTCGCAGGTGGATCGATCGGGATAAGTGCGAGGCGGTAGAAGTGTTCATACAGGAATGGTTGGATCTAGGAGTGAGGTATGTGGGCGGTTGCTGTCGCACATACGCGGCGGATGTGTCCCGTATCCGTAACCAGGTCCATTGCTGGCGCGACCGCTGGCGTTTCCAAGCCAAATACCAAGCAAATCTCAATTCTAATAAAAACACAGTCGACTGATTTAACAGCTATCCTAACTGGATACAACAAACAATAAATTACTTCTAGTGACATTTAAACAATTAATTTTATAAATAAAACAAATTTAAAATATACTTTAATCTTCTTTACAAATGTTAATGTTTATGTAAAATGAATTTAAATCATATATGTATTTGATATGTTGGTAATACTTATTGTTATAACTATGTGCGGGCAAAAAATTTGTGCCGTGTTATATACAATTTAAATATACAATAATTATTTATTCTCGATTTTATTTCAATGTTCGGTACAATCTTAAATCTTGAATTGATAACGACTGATAAACATAATATTTATTATAATGTGCCAATTTTAAAAATTTTCTAACAAAAACTTTCTAATTAATATATTGATAAAAGCAATCAGGGCTTCCGTTAAATCACTGTCAATAACATTGCGAGAGAAGACAATATTTGACGAAAACTTTGAACGATGTGTACAGAAGGAACGACACGACTAGAAACTTGGTTTGTTGACACAAGACGAAGGTCGGCACACGGAAGCTAGTGAAATGTTAGATTCGGTTCGACTTTGTGTTCAAAATACGGACCTTTTAATAAAAGAATTCAGTACATTTATAATATTAAGAGGACCGTATTCTCCTTAAGTATATGAAACCCTTGAATTTAATAAAAGTAAGTTCTTACGCTTCCAATCCAAGTATAATTTTATGCACATTGTACTGATGTATTTTTGAATGAATGTATGTATGTATAATGTAGGTAAATAACTCGTACATTCTAATTCAAAAAACGTGCATTATGAAAGTGTGTTGCTTTACTTTGTACTAATATATAAATAAATAAATATTTTGGACACAACGGTAATGCTGAACCTATGCGACTTAGGGACTTTCAAGAAGAGAGCCTATTCCTACCTCAAAGGCCGGCAACGCATTTGTGACTCCTTAGGCGTCGAGTATTTATAGACAGCGCGCTGTGGTTCCCTAGTACGACAAAAATCACCCAAGGTAACTCTGCGATTGAATGAAAGTAGTGATCATTATAACAACTTCAAAGTATGAACTTAACAATGGTATAAATTAAATGCACTTAGCTAATTACTTTCATTACCATTTCGTCATTGAATTCGTGAATAACAACAGTGATCCAAAACGTTACTTGATTGTTACGTGATTTCGTTTGTCGATTCCCAGAAACCTGTTATATATTTGATTTATTTTCAAAATGGATTTCCACGGACATGGTATGTACATATTATTTTTATTTTATTTACAATTTTAATATTGTTTGTTTTGTTGAAATTTGACTGCTACGTGATATACCTTTTTTATGTAAGCGTTTTAATTTTTAATTTAACACATCTCGAGTTTTAGTTTATATTCCTCCAATTTCCGTAACAAACATTCTTATATACGTTAGGTGAGACCTCAATCTTTATGATTTCACGTGAATTCGTTCCCCGTTTTTCCCCCTTTTGGAGCAATATGGGTGTTACGTGAAAATAATCTCTATGTAGCACTTTGCTACGCACACGAATTAACACTGAATGTCTTTCGTTTTGCATTTATTTACTAAAAATATTGTTTTTATTGCAGGTTCAAGTCGGGAGTATATATTCCCACGCATGTGTGTCTTCGAAATTTGAAAGTTGAAAAAAAAGTTGAATATCACTGAGCGGGCCGAGCTCGTATTTCAAGAGATACGTGACGCACTTTCTTTTTTCTGCATGTTTCTTATTTTCTTATAGGCTTAATATAAAAAAGTGGCAAGTTAGACAAGCTGATAAAGAGAGAGAGTGTAGCGAAAAGGAAAAAAAACATCCAATCCCAATTCAGGATAAAAATGGGTTTGGTAGTAGACAAAACTAAACCAGGTGAAAGTGGGACTTCAAATGATGGCAATACGGCTAGAAACTTCTTTGAGAATCCTGTAATTTCCGCAGAAATTTCAGGATAATAGATAAAAGCTTAATAAAACGTTGAGCCACAATATTTCAAGTTATAAATACTGGCTACAAAGTAAACTCTATTAAGTTTGAGAAATTTGCAATGGAAACTGCCAGGCTAATTGTCCAAGCATATGCATGATTTTACCTACCAACTTCTGTCCACAAGGTATTAGTGCATGTATCTGCTATCATAGATATCTGCTATCATATCTATTAGACAACTTTCTGGAGAAGCGGCAGAAGCGAGAAATAAAGCGAGAAACATTTTAGACTTCGTGATACTAGGAAGTTTTCTAGGACTATACATAATGGGGATCTTTTGAATAGGCTTCTTTTAAGCTCTGATCCATTCATATCAGAACTTAGAAAATTGCCTAGAAAGAATCTGTTTTTATCAAAAGCTGCTTTGAAACACCTGAGTTTTTAAAATATTATTGTTACAAATACAATATAGCTGCATTTCTATTGTTTATTTTCAGGTTTTTTATACCTTTGTGTCTTGTTTAATATAAATTTATGCTTAAATAAGTTCATTCTTTCAGAATAACTTTGAGTCGCAATTTAATTATTGATTTGATTTTTTTTTACTGTAATTTTTTTTATGCAGTATGTATATATCGTTATTTATTATAATTTATAACAATGAACTTATTATCTAACCAGTTTCATTCATAAAATCGCAGAAATAAAGTATTTTATATATTTCCCTAAAATAATGATAATAGTTGAAACATATGATGACCTGCCTAAGCCACACGCCGAAAAAGTGACATACAGGTACAGATATATTATTATAATGCATGTCGATGACGTGACCTTGAAGTTTTGTCCATCTCATAACCGTTTTGTATAAGGCACGCACCACCTGACAGTAAGTAGCGATGCAACTTTTTTTTTATTTGGTTCACAAACTGAATGATACATTTAATAAGAAGTGAGTTACTAAAATTAATGCAGGAATACAGATAATGCACATTCTAAAAAAGTGAACACAGCGTTCTATTCTAAAAACTACAATTATAACACCCTTAATACAAAAATATAAAGAGAAACAAAGATCTTAAGAAAGGATGTAAATTAAAATTGAGATAGGTATTTAACTAATTTAACTTTAGCTTATTTTACTATAAAGCTCTCGAATCAGTATTTTAGCAGAGGCTAATGAACCATAAAACAGATCAAAGTTGAATCCCATATTATTACAAGACGATATCATTGGATAGAGGGGTGAGTGTTGCCCGATGTTTGTACGACAGAAAGTTAAAGAAAGACATTTTCTATTTAATAACCTACAATTATTCCTTGGAACAACAAAATTGATCTTAGATAAGATTTCAGGGCAATCGACAAAGCCATTAACTGTCTTATATAGAAATAAAACGTCGCAAAATTTTCGTCAGTAATATTTTTTTATTCAGTGTGTCCATTTTAAAGTACTCAAGTCATGTTTCATAGCTTGGAAGTAATTTGCATTTATTGTTGACATAAGATAGTCGATATAAAAAGCGTTTTTGTATCTTTTCTAATCTGTCAGAATGAAGCTTGTATCCTGGATTCCAAACCGGGGCACAATACTCAAGAATACTTCTCACTACACAATTATATACAGGAATCAGGACCGATGGATTTTTAAATGCTGTCTAGATACAAAACCTGAGAGACGAGATGCTTTGCCAACGATACCGTCAATATGGCTGCTAAAGTTTAAGGCGTTATCAACTGTCACGCCGAAGTCTCTAAAAGCAGTCAACTCGGTTAAAGGTAAACCATCAAAATAATAGACTGTAGAAGCTGAGTGTTTCTTCCTACTAAACCTTACGTGGCAACACTTATTATGGTTTAGGCACATTTTTTTGTGATGACACTATTGCGAGACTTTGTCGAGTTCATCCTGCAGGAAACGAATATCCGTGTCGTTTTCAATGACAAGTTAAGGTCATCAGCATAAATTTTACATTGACATTTAATTTTGGAAGCTAAAACTTTTGAACCTTTCTTTCCCATTGGTTATCGGTGATAAGAGTTACGCCGACCCATCACCATTTCAGCTTATCAATCTTCTCAGCTGACATGGATATTAGACATAATCTTCATCTGTTCATCTTAAGACTCGCCCGTTGGAAGACGCAGTTGAGTTCATTGATAATGATAAAAAGGTCCGCCAGAGATCCAAGTTAAATTCTGGAGTAAGATTCAAAGTTGTTAAACAGGCTTCTCTTTTTTGATAAAAAGCCTGAATTTTGCTGGTATTGAATCTCACAATATTGCCGTTGTCTCATTTGGATACTGCCTGCAAATTAGGTTTCAAACGCTCTACCATTGCCTATCTTTCGGACTGAATTTGATCTCTACTGTCCACAATTAGTATTTTTTTTTAGCTCGATTAGTATTTTTCCACGATTGTACTGTCGTCTCCATACATACCAGTAGATAGCGGGTAAAAGCAAATTGTTGCGACGTAGGAGAAAAAAAGAATTAACTCGCTCTGTTTTTTTTTTTTTTGGGTTGGATGAGCCACTGTTGGCCTTAAGGGCCTTTACAGTTCCGACGGGCTTGAGGTGGCCTGGCGCGCGAGGCGCCTAGCCTGAACCTCGACGTATTATTATTACACGTTATGGTGACTAAGCTCGAGGGCTCCCAGGGGAGCCTCGGCTCGGGCCGTCACGCTATTATTATCACCGGTTTGGGAGGCCGCCACGCTCTTAGGGCGCTTTGGCGGGCGCTCCATGGAGTGATCAGGCTCAAGGGTCCTCGGCTTGGGCTGTCACTCAACACGCGTTTAGAATTCCGATTCGAGGGTGCCCGGGAAGGCCGGACCTCGGCTCGATCGGTAGCTATTATCTGACTGGGGGAATTACTAGAGCTAACATTATTACCACTTCGGAGAGCGCTGGCGCTGGGAGAAGAAGTGGAGAAGAAGGTGGAAGAAACTCCAGCAACGCTTCTATCATTAATAGGGGAAAACCTGCCAGGTACGTGGCGGAACCTAGTATATGTGTGTGTGTTCTAGTTCGGACACGTGACCGGGGGAACGGGATCGCGAAGTGGCTCTAAGGCTTACC